ACACACACTATATATTATGTTATATTATGATACCATTATATGATATCTTTATACTTGTTTTCGCTATTACAAGCTATTTGATATTATTTTTTATAACAATTCTATATATTATAAACAATCAAATAATGCATTCTATGTAATCTACTACTGGTGTAGTAGACTCTTGAGAAAAAAGATACAAAAAATATTTTGCAGTTTTATTTATATTTTAACTTTTGGCTATATGTTATCGTGCAATATGACGCATATATAAGTGAGACTGTCATTATCAACATATCGAGTGAACGTGTGCAAAATGCGTTCTAGCACGATGAGTTAAACGTGTAGTTAATATTACCTCAATTGATACATTGCAGCGGTAGTTTAATCGACGCTTCGGATGCGCGATTACACGCGCGATATGCATGGATCAAGCAAATCGCACGAAGTTCATTTACAATGAATTTCCGGCGCGTAAAAAATCTTATAAAAGATACATAATTATTTTATTATATGTTGTATTTAACACAACAATTCTAAAAACATGAAAATTTTATTTATAATAATTATTTACATAAATACGTTATAATTTTGAAAAATGCCATGAGCTTAATTATTCCCTTTATAATCTAAACATTTTATTCGGTTCAGAAACTTTATGTTTAAGTTTAGTCAGTATTTCATATATCTTAATTTTCAGGAAATTTAAATATTTTACATAAAAATATAGGCAATATTTTTGAATACGAATTGCTATAACTAAATCTTATAATATTAATTATTGTATTTAATGGAATTTATAAAATAAGAGTAATAACAATGTTAGGATAGCGATGAAGTTTACGTAGGAATTAGAAGTGATTTATCAAAATGTTATGCTTAATAAGCATTAACTAATAATCATTGATAAATGAATATTCTTCCAAGTGATTATTAGTACTGCATGAATTTCATCAAATACGCTTTTGCGTCGCTCGATGTGCGCGTACATGAAATGATGCGCAAAATTATTGTCAAATAACGCTTGACCAACAGGGAGTAAATAATTGCGCAGTGCGATGCCATTTATGAGATAAATTGCTCAAATCACCACGGTAATCGATAGTTTATTTTTCCTCCTCTGCCATCAGTTTATTTTCCAACGCGATGACCTATGTGTCCACTGGCATATGCATTTCACAGTGAACATGTTATATACATTAAAACTTGTTGTTTGCTGTCATTTCGTTTAACTAACAAATATTTATTAAGGCAATGAATCAAAAGATATGCTTATTTTTTAGTTTCCTTCTGAAAAAAAAATTGATACAATAATTTAACAAATTAAAAAAGTATTAAAAAATTTAATTAACTATCCTCGTATTAATGTAAAGATAAAAATTTAATTTACGGGAAAAAATGTGAAAAAATGTATAAAAGCTTTACGATTTTCCGGAACTGTCACTATAACTGTGCTAATGCGAAAAGTAGCTCTCGAAGAATAAAAAACTCCAGCGTGAAAATTGCCCGAATTATCTCGAAATAGCGACAAAGAGTTCACGACGCTGGGATTAATAAGACTGCTTGTTATGAGTAAAGGATTGTATGCCGAGAAGCGAAAGCTCCTAATTCAGCTATACATTCCTGCGCACGGCGAAAGAATTTTACGATATTTAATATCCATAACAACTTATTTTCTCAACGGAAGTTCGATAATAAGCTACTCGCAATTTTCAACAAAGTTTCCGGATGGAAAATCGTGGCTTCTCGTATACTTTCTACTGCAACGTTGACAAGTACGACGAGCGATAAGTAATTTATGCCAGTGAAACTTTTTAATATTAATAAAATATCGAGAGGTTATTGACAATTTTCTGGCTTTTCTGCTGACACCTTAAAACAACTTGCGATCTACTATTAATTAATTAAAAGATTAAAAAACATTAATAGTCGTAAAACAAAGGCACGATGTCTGTTCATTTAAATTCTTAATATTTTTTCAGATTTTCCTTCTCTAATAATTCTTGTGTGATTTAGATTTATAATTTTCTTACTGCTGAAACTTTCTAATCATGTGATGTAAAAATGTAATTAATGATGAAATTTAAATGCAATATTCTCTAATAAAATATGCAACTCATAATGAAATTTAAATGTATATTCTTCATTATTTTTCAAGAAAATTTCTTTTCACAAAATAATTAAAATTGTGTACTACACGGCACTTTAATTGCAAACATTACTTTCGTAGAACAAATGACTGCGGCCCGGTTTATATATTCCAGTGTTATATTTTAACTTTTAACATAGTGCTACTCGTATCAACTCGCAGATAACAAAGTATAGGCAGTATGGTGAATTATCGCAATTTTTCACAAATAATTGTTGATCTTATTATTGGTGTGAAATAAATAGATCAAACTTATTCCTTTTTAATTTTAAACTCTCTATTAATTTCTTAATGTTATTTCTTTCGTTAAATTCTCTTCAAAGAATTTTCTTATTCCTGGAATTTTCTCTTGTTTACGTGATATTCCGCAATTAATTTGCTCAATAATTCGTTTGGAATCACTTGCCATTTTAAATGGCAAGTGATTCCAAACGAATGGCTGGTTATAGATAAAATTGTCATATTTAGAAAGTCATAATTTACTTCAGAATATAATTATTAATCAAAATTATTTCATGTCAAACTGTATTTTACATAGTCATTTTCAATACATCATTTTCAATACATCTTTTTAATAGGTTTTGAATGTCAATGTAATTAAAGATCTTTTATTACAGTTACAAGTTTCATTCACACATATCGTTGTGTGCACAGGGTAATGAGAAATCGAATAATCGAAAATTAATAACTCGAATTACAACGAAATTGTTTTAGTTCATACATTCGTTGCATTCTAATTAATTTCATATAATTCGTTGTCCGCATAGATAGGGCAACTTGGAATGACAGTTTCAAAAATATCAATTTTCAGAGAATTAATTTTGACAATTTACCCCCCTATTTAAATTCGGCAATTAATATACAATCTTATCCGCTTAAACAGAGAAAATCGTAATAAAAGTTAATATTTAGGTTAATATTTATGTTAATTATCATTAACTCAATCGCATATTTTCTCGTTACTTCTCATTATGTTGCATTTCTTCTTATGCGATGATCAGTATTTAAATAAATAAATAAAAATCGAAAATCGTTTTCGTTTTTTTTAAATAAAGGCGATTAAATAAAATTGAGAAAAATTTAGTTTTAGTTTTAAATAAACGCAATAATGGACATCTGTTCTAACGCGATGAATCGTATTAAGTATTTCTTTTAATTTAATCAATTAACAGACAAGTGTTGCATTTTCATGACGTCAAGCTATCTAGGCAAACCTCGCGTATTGCAAAATATGAAAAACTCTAAATCGAGTAGCTTATGCAGCAGCTGGGACAGAAATTTCTGCAGAAGTATCATTGTCCTGTTTACCCCGTTATATGCCGGTGCCGGATACTTTTAGCAAAAATTCATACGAAAATGTTATCGCACGCGCGTGCATCTCGTTGGAAGCCCATTTGATATGGTACATTCTCTATACATGATGTTTCCAGACACAGAGAATTCAAGTATCAAAACAGCCTGTTATCCGAGAATCGTGAAATATAAAAACAATAGTGCAAAGTCAGTTCTTTTTATTTGCTCTCTAGAATCTATTTGTACGAGAAAATTTGAGAGAGAAATGCTTCCCCACGTCGACTCGCCTCTCTCCGGTGGTGATCGATTCAATCAACATTTACGTCATCATTCTGTAAACTACCGGATAATCATCTCGACGCGATACTCGGCTGCCGATTACAAGATTAATTCAATTCGCTCGGATGACATTTAGTTTATTGACGAGACGTAAAAATCATTTAACGTTACGCTCACGGTGCATTATTTAGGCGAACCGTTTAACTTTGCATGTATTATCCTAAATAGATGCACCGCATAAAAAAAGAAACGCAGAATGCGACAAGTGAACTTTTAACGCAGAGGTGCATCTATGTATTTCTGTGCATTTTGTACTCACGATCTCTATCTCACAGGCGAAGATTTATACGTAACGCATCGTATTTCGCCTTATTTTACGCGGCCGCCGCGTCGTATCGAACGCTATCGTCTGTAGCCTATTATTCATAATGCAGCTGCGAAATAATCCAGAAACGTGTGAAAAATATGAGAAAGTAAAAGGAGATGTATCCTATATAGAACGGCGCGTTAGCTATAATCGCGCATGATGCGATATTTATGGCAGCTGCGTGTGCTGCACACATAATTTCACATTAGGAAGATAATGGATAATGGGACGATATCTATGTTTCCATCACACAAATTATATCGTTGCAAATAAACTGATTTAATACGTAATCGTATTTGTATTAAAACCCTCTCTCTCTTGCCGTTTTTATTTGTAATTACTTTATTATTCGATCTAATTTATATTTATTTCAAATACAATATGAGATTTTCGCCAATCTACTTTGGTCATACGTCACAAGAATTACTTTTCTATCAATAATACAGTCATATTTACAGTCATATAAATCTACACAATTTTTGGCAATCGTGTAAAGATTGTGACTTTTTTTAATGAAAATTATTGTGGAGAAACAACTGTGACAGATGATTTTTCTGAAAATTTTTGTGAATTTTATAAATAATTTTTGAAAAACAGCAATAGAGCAACATTGAAATACAGCAATAGTGCAGAAGGTATCTCTCGATGTCGTTCAATGTTGCTCGCGAATATGGAAGTTTGCTTAAGTGCTGCGCATACGACAGCGATGCTCGCTAATTCGACGTCACGTCTACGCGTTTAATTTGCAGTCAGGAGACGCATCCCCGCGTTTCGCCGAGTCGCGTAGCATTCAGCCTTCTGACATTTATTCGCTTTCCATAAAGTGCATTTTGCACGACGGCGAATTGACGTTGCTGTCGAAAAATTGCCGGCGGTGCGCGGTATGCAAATGGCGTATGTATTTTTCACGAATGTCGTATTTTATCGTTTCAGGCGGCGCTTTTCAACCCGAATTCTCTGGTCCTATCACCAATCTAACCGTGCCACTCGGAAGGGACGCCACTTTCACGTGTCTGGTGAAACATCTAGGAGGTTACAGGGTACGTTGCATGAAAAGCGACAGCGTGTCTGTGATGTCGTAACGCTCGCTTAACTTCTCGGGGTCTCACTTAACTTCTGAAAGGAGACGGGCCTTTAAAAAGTCATATCTCCCACCAGGCTAAACTTTTGTGGTACACATCTTTGTCGCGAACATTTATTCGTGGTGTGTTACATTATAATGTTGATGGTCCGATAACTACCACAAGAATCTAGCAAAAGTAAAAGACGTGCGAAATAATAATATACCCACAAAAATATATATATATATATAGTAATATATATAGTAATTTTAACATTTAATATATAGTATATATAGTATATAAATGTTAGTAATTTTAACAACGTGGATATGTTATTTAAATATCAAATACATCAAATTAAATCAAATATATATAG